ATTTCAGGGATGAATGAGTTAAATGGGGGGGGGGGGGGGGGGGATGTCCTCATAAACATTGGCTGATATCAACAAATGCTAAGTGTCTATAAAGCTTTCTGATACATGTAATACTAATAAAGATAACACATGCAGTATGTTACTGATCTCAACCACAAATGTTAAGTTTTATCTAACACTAAAAAAGTGAGCTTCAGCGTGTACACAACTGCAGTTTCCTAAGAACCAGGCTTTATTTTCCACTGATAACTCAAAGCCTGGACTTTGTTTCACTCTTTGTTAAACTGAACATGTGACGATCATATCAAGTTATTTACCCTTGTTGTACATACAAATGGTCGATATACAGCAACAGGTCTTACAAATACACCCTCTGTACATATATAAACACTGGCACAATGACAGGTCTGCGATATAAAACATTCTTATTTACAGAAGTATAGCAGTACTGTAATGATACATCAATAAAATAAATTGTACTTCAATATTGGTCCAGTCTCATAACCATGACACAATACAAGATTTGTGAACTTGTAATCGTGATACCTAAATTACGTAATAGGGACAAGTTACTTCCCTTTGTGTATCAGACAACAAATAAAAGCATGGCAGAGTAAATACTTTCATTGGGTCCTTTCAAACTGCAAGTGTCACAATATTTTGTGCTTCCAATTGAAATGGCGAATAGAAACAGACGGTCAACAAAGAGCGGGTTGCAAATTATTTGATAAATACAAAATATACAGAAGCCACAAAAAACTTGTCTTCACATCTGCAAGGATATCTTCCTGTGCTAGCAAAAAGTCAAAATCCAGAATCAAAATATATACATATATATGTATCTTATTGTCAATTATAATTCTTACAGTGGAAACAATATGATGTTGTCAAATTTTCGGAGCAATATGCTCCTTTATCGAGACACAGAAAAAAACAATTACATTACATAATCAAAGTACTGAAAGTACTGAAAGCTAAGGCAAAAGATATATATATTATTTTTGGAATGGAGAACAAAATAAAGACGAAGTTCCCATCATATTGTACAGAAGGATTTACTGTTAATTTGTTACGAATCAAAGTTTTATGTAAAAGTGTACCACTGTGAAGTTATTCTTCTTGTGTGTACAGTATATCTTTATAGGTTTGTCAGAAGAGTGGAACCAAGTTTCCTCTAGAATGTATTATTTTAAACCTTTGGATAATTAATTTGCATAGGAATTTGGAATTGCTTCCCTTTGTCCATACAATGTATTTCATAGAACATTAAAAACTGAAACTGGCATTTACCCCTTTGACCAATACCTGATTATTTTAAACCATTGAATAGATTATGCACAGATTGTGAACATCTTTGAACTTTGCCTTTGTTGTTGAATAAGATATCAACCCTTGCCTTATCTAACAAAGTTACTTGGCATAAAACCATTGACCAATCAGAGTACAGTATGCTAATTAATTAGGCATGGATTTCACTCAACTTTGAACTTATCGTCTAAGTTTGTATATTGATCAATATATATTCAAGCAAGTTATCTTGTAAAGTGTGCACATCGACCAGGGTTGGCATGCTTTTTAATACGTGTGAATTTTGTTCAAGTTTCAATTTTGCATCAGTCAGTGTATATTGTTACAGAACAATATTTATAAGGATGTTTACTTGCCGAAACTAAATTGTGGATAAGCAAGTGGATTACTGCTACCCATAAATTTACAAGTCTCTCAATAATTTTGAAAAA